GCGGGTAGGCAAAAACCAACAGACTGACAGAAGAAGCAGTCACGCAGCGAATACAGGACTGACTCTACGGAAACATAGAGAAGACGGAGGTGATGGAGATAACCAACCAACAGCAACAACAACAACAACCAGAAGATTCAGATTCTATTCAACACCAATTTTAAGTGACTCAGTTCTTCTAAACTGGTGAGAAACTTGCACTGTGCATGAGTCACGAAAAGGATTTCCAATAGGCCAGTAGAGACTTTTATTAATAGCTGCCCCCTTCCCTAGCTGGCTGCATACTGAAGATCAACTGGCCAGTCGGCCATCCAGAAAGAATTAGCAACGAGAAACTCTGTCGATGAACAAACCAACAAACCGAGAGCCGATTGCACAGCAAATCTGCAGGAGAAAATGGAGATCAGACTGATCAGGCTATCAGTCGAATGACATCACGCTTATTGCAGGCCATCGCTCGAGTGGAATCCCAATGGAAAGTGACGATTGAGTGGTCAGTGCGAGGGTGACATGGAGGAAGTCATTTCGGGGGACAGGAGAAGGAGATAAGAGATTATACACAATCCTAGGCCTGGCCGGTTGAGGAGGACAGTAGAAAAAGAAAATACAAGAAAGTGAAGATGTGTTATTGAAGCCCTATATTCTATTCGCAACCCAGGGAAATGAAAATAATAATAATTACAATTGTGACTTATTTCTCTTGATAAGTTATCGTACTATGTGAGTGATTAATGAATTCATGTGGATATGTTTTTAACTCTCCAGTCTGCTCTTTATAAATGCGTCATCCGAAGTAGTTTATTGTTACGGAGGTTGGAAAGTGGTTGAACAGAGTGTAATATAGCTCACAGTGTTACTTGTGAGTGATACAGGAATAGAACTGACGCTTAAGAATATCGGATTGTGCATTAAACATGTTAAACTAAGCATTCTGGAGAATGAAACGAATCAAAACACACAAATCAAAACCCAATTAACAATCAATCATGAAAAATTTAAGACTGAGAATAAATAGTTGCTACGTGTGTCACTTTTTTATGAAGCCATAAATCTTTCATTTTGCATCCCTTTTGGGCATCATTTCTTCTGAAAGTTCAATTCAAAAGTACTAAAAGGTAAAATTGAAAGGCAACGTAAGTCGCTGTATGAGAGTCTTATTTGTAATCAACTTAATGTGTTTGTTTTTTTCTAACCCCCTTCAAATTATTTTATACATTTAATCGACCATGAGTTTCTTCAAAGATTAAACTCACAATGATAATGAGCGCTCTTATGTAAATTATTTGGATTTTTGGATGAAAACTGTTAACAATCGACTATTCAACGTGAGTCAGTACCATCCATGTTAACCGAAAGTAGATATCAAAATATTCGTTAAAATTCAAATGAAATTTTCACCTACCGAAGAACTGAAACTGCCAGTATTCTACACATCAGTATCTGGTATAAGGTAATAAAACTTAAACGGTTGGAGTCAGTCGGTAGAAAGCTTTGAACCTAAGTTTCGTACTTGTTGGCCCTTATCACGAAGGCGTATCTGCAATCTTGAAGCAACTTATGTCTTCATTGAAACTCAAACTCGGGCCACCCAGTGGTACAGTCAGAGACTTTATCATTGAGATATCCGGACTCATGATTTACCTAGGTTTAAGTCTCAGAAGGGACCTGAGTTTCATAAAGACTGAATGTACTCCTGGATGACAAATGCCAACAAACGCGAAACTTAGCTCGAAGGCTTCCTACCGATTACCTCCAAGCGTCTAATAGCTGTTCAAAGTGTACCATAATGGCAAACCACCTAGAGTGGTGGGCAAATTGCAAACTTCGCACCAAAGGAAGGAGCAGATGAATGATTCGTCTCACTGCCTAGTATGTAATCAAAGGGATAAATCTACTGGGAGATCTGGAGGAAACAACTAAAATCGGTTACTTAACCTTATGTAATATAGTTCTATTAACACTGCTCCACTTACCTCATTACTTTGTTATCACAGCATAATACTAACACTACTCATTAAATGGTTATAATAGTAGTGAGGTAGTAGTAACTACAAACGATGGAGAGCTATTTATTATACCCCAAACTAAAAGGATTTGCCTAGAGCATTATAAAAAGAAATTATAAGTTAAACTTCGATTTGAAGTGTACAATGAAATAACGTACTTTAATTAACGTCTTAGAACTCTCACCGAGCAGCTTCAATAAACATATCCCTAACTGATTTCACATAAAAAGTGATATTATTTCTCTTTTCGATAAAGACTAGATCGCAAACATGCGTAATAACAACACCTCTATGCTATATAATGAGAGTTCTTTTACAAATCGAATGTGACTTGAATATGTTGATAGTATTAAATATGTGCATATGTATATACCTTAGAAAAATTTTGGTTAACCCCAGAATACACTTATATGCGGCCCGCTCACCTTATTGGTTTCCAATTTTTTCTAAATAAGTTTCTTAACAATAAAGTTTTATTTCAGAAAATATGTGAACGTATAGTACAGAAATTTTCAGCGCTATAAAGTATTTCATCTTCGTACAGGATTTACAAATAAATTAACAATCTGATGCACACACCACATGACGTAGCTTTGTTACACATGAAAAGTGGATCTGTTCTGTGCATAACTTCTCCATTTCCGAAAAGAATTTGAAAGAATTCAGCAGGAGGCTAATTAAATATGCGTGCATCAGTTGGCGTACTTGTCAACTGAGAAAACTGTTAGATCAAAACCTTAAAATATGCACAAGAGTTTAGGAAAATTAATGAATGGAAATTCTGGTTGCATAGTGATTTGAGCAGGCTGTCAACATAGAAAGGAACGAATATATATATATCTGAAGGATAATACAAACTCATTTTATCTCATGCATTCCTATCAAGTGACTACAACCTAAACATTTTCGCAGCATAAGTTACAAAATTTCTGAACACACAACCACACACACTTTTCTCACAATGACAACGAGTTAATAGACAATATATGTATAAGCAACATAATTCCGAAATGAGATGTATACAGACAAATTATTCAGTGTTAACATGAATACCTACCTACTTGTTGTCGTGTCATTAGACAAGATCAAGGTGGAGTACAGCTTTTGTTTGGAAACAAGAATTCACTAAAGACGAAATACAAGACTGAACAACAGTGTGAATTTATACATAATGTGATGATGGAGAGCTGAAGAGGGTGGAACTGATTAGTAAAGTAAAATTATGATACAGACAAACAAGTAGGAGAATTCGGAAACTTAATAATCAATACACAAAGAAAGACATGGTTACTTCGGTTTGCAGAAGCCTCTGTCATTAAGAGACGTCGATCCGGCCTCTGTATACAAAAAGATAGTATGATTATTGAAATAAGAATAGAACTCGTACAGTGTGGTAGAGTATAATTCCATAATGGAGAAAATTTATTTTGATAAAGTCTTACAGTGTTATACAATAGTAATATTTACTGATGACCACGTTTCGAGCACCACAGTTTATCACTGCAGCTCATTATCGTATCGTGTCAAGCGACCGAAGTAACCATGTCTTTCTTTGTGTATTGATTATTAAGTTTTCGAATTCACCTACTTGTTTGTCTGTATCATAATTTTACTTTACTAATCAGTTCCACCCTCTTCACCTCTCCATCGTCATATTATTTATAAATTTTACACTGTTGTTCAATCTTGTATTTCGTCGTTAGTGAATTCTTGTTTCCAAACAAAAGCTGTACCCCACCTTGATCTTGTCTAATGACACGACAACAAGTAGGTAGGTATTCTTGTTAACACTGAATAATTTGTCTGTATACATCTCATTTCGGAATTATGTTGCTTATACATATATTGTCTATTAACTCGTTGTCATTGTGAGAAAAGTGTGTGTGGTTGTGTGTTCAGAAATTTTGTAACTTATGGTGTGATAATGTTTAGGTTGTAACTTATGCTTGATAGGAATGCAGGAGATAAAATGAGTTTATATTATCCTTCAGATATATATTCGTTTCTTTTTTTGTTCAAATTAGGCGGTGAATATTTTCACTGGAAAGTTTTTTCTGTCCATTTAATAAGATTTTCGTACAGTTTTAAAATTTGTACAAGTTTTCATATTTTTCCGCCGGCAAATCATACCTTTTTACTCTTGTCACATCATTATTCTATTTAGCGATTTTCCGATTGACTCACTACACTGGCTGACAAGCACATACAAGGAATAATTCTGGGGGTTGCATAATACGAAGTTAGCTAAAACAATGTTCGATAAATATTAAGTCGGATGAAAATACTAGATTTTGGACACATTAAGAATATCAGCACATTCCTAGTAGAGCCTAATAACATAAAGAAACTGAGTTATACTGTGGTGAGTGAGTTTGTTGGTATTATATGTTTGGAGGTAATCCACAAGAAGCCTCATTCGACCTAGGTTTCGTGCTATTTGGTACTCACCAGTCAGCAAGTCAGGCTTATCTGAAACCACCTTGACGGAACTCATGCTTCTGCTGAGACTTGAACCCGCATCACCCAGTGTTGCCTGCAGTTAGAGAGGGACGTTACCACTGAGCTTTTTTTCGGGCTTGTGGGTGACCTCTTGCAGAACAGACTGTATTGGATACATTTGATTGAACACTAGTAAGTAACTAGTGTAATGTGTGTCTATTCCTATCTTTGGTACAGAATGAATCAGCACAAAACCCAGATCCAAGGCTTTCTGCCGATTACTCCAACTATCTAATACCAATAATTCACAGTGCACCGTTGTGACCGGCCAATTAGTGGCACGGTGACTACATTACAAACTTGACTGATAGAATTCAGTGCTCACGAAACAATGGCCCCATCGAAAATAGGTTCCAGATATTTTATGATTACACCAAACAAACCGGAATCAATTTATAGGTAAATATAACGAAAAAAGATTTGCATTTCATATGTACACTGATAAATTCGCAATGAATCTAAAAAGTCACTTAGCCAAGCCCCAGGAATACTCACCTTCTTTTTACTTGCACGAATTTTTTTATCTCTTTGTATATTTCCTTCTCCAGGTGCAGTTGTCATCCATACTTGATATATAATAGCTGAATAAGTAACAATAATAACTGACAAAGGTAACATGTATTGCAGTAGCATAACTAAACAATTATAAATTAACTCCAATGAAATTGGATTTGTATCAAGCGCTGATTGTTGATAATCACTTGGATGTAGTGTGGACATGTGCGATGCGAAGTGTTGATCATTCCATGAATAACTTATATTTGATTGATTTGCCTGAATATTATAACCGTCAGGCCATAATTCTTGACAATGTGTTAAACCGTCTTCATCAACAACTATATGACAAACAATTAAACTTGGTATTGGTATAATCATAGCACATAACCAGATAAAGCCGAGTATCATTCGTGCATTTCGTACAGATAGTTTACGTCTACGCCATATAGGACATCGTATAGCTGTCAACCGATCAATTGATATAATCACATGTGTAAATGCACACAAGAAGACAACAACCCCCTGTAAATAATTCACTAGACGACAAAATGTTTCACCAAAAGGCCAATATATTAATAAAAAATCTGAAATCAGCGTAAATGGTGCACAAATCAATATATGCAATAAATCGGAGATACTTAAATTGACTAAAAATGTATACGTCACTGAACGTTTTGTCATAGTTAGCCCACCTGATGATGATGGAGATGGAGATATTTGTTTTTTACAGCATTGTGTTATCCTTGAAGGTGTACGTCGTCTGTTCAATACGCATAAAACAAGAGTATTTCCTAAGGCTGAGAATATCACAAGTACACTGACAACAAATGCAATAATGACACGTCCATACAATGGAATCTCTGGGGGTTTCATTGTATCCATTCACAGTGATAGGAGTATTTACTCTCTCTTTCTGTTACAGAAATTAACAGATATATTAATAACACATTGAAAAAATGTTCGGCGTCAGTAGGGGTAGGGGGAAGTAAATATTCTGTCATTTTTGAATTTTTACCACATCAGTTTTATGTTGTTTCCATGATTGCTCCATAAAAATAATTCATTCAGGGTTTATTGACTTCTAATTTATTTTTCTTTTCTGGTAAAGGCAACTGACCAATCAGAGAACTGCGAATATACGTGATTTCCACCAATTATAATCGTGTTATTTTTTCTCCGGGTCATTGATCAGACAAAATCACATCAAAGAGATTGCACAGCGAAGAAATATTCACTATTCAATTAGACCCTCATCTCACTCTGGCTCTAATCCAATATATTATGTTTAGCATCTTTATAACAATATGCAACAATTTATCAGTCAAGTGGCACTGATATGTTTGTTAACAATAATAAAGTCTCTGATTCGTATAGTAGCACTGATTTCACATTGATGCTGAGTGTCGTTGACCTTCACACAGACTTGAGAGTAGTGAAAGCTTGTCTTGCTTTTCCAATTCTTGCTTTGATATCCTCGTCAGTTCCATTAGCCTTTAGTTGAAATGATGCTTCCCAGGTAGGTGGGTGAAGGAGGTTGTTTCTTTCAGGTTCCTTCCATTTATGCTGATTGTTGTCTGTTGTTGTTGCTGTTGGTGGTGTTGCCCAGGAATTTCCATCACCTCTATTTTCTCTATGTTCACCTGAAGGAAGTCTAATCTTTGATGCTTCTTCTGCCAACTTGTTGCTTTTCGCTTGCATATCTTCCAGTTTGTGGGAAATCAGACATATATCAACGACGATGTCCAGGTCCTCCAAGTTTTTTGTATGAGTCCATTTTATGTCTGTTTCCTCATTGCCCGTTGTCTGTCTGTCGCATTATCCAATCTACTGCAATCAGGAGAATCATTGACGATAGTAGGCAGCCTTGTCTTACTCCTGTTCTCACTTTGAAGGATTCCGTAAGTTTCCCGTTGAGAATTACTTGGCATGCAGCATTGCCGTACAGCTGTTGGATGAGATGTATATTTGTCGATGGCACCCTGTAGTAGCGAAGTAGTTTTCAAATCACCTCTCGATCGACGCTGTCTGTTGAAGGCCTTTCAAAGTCGATGAAGTTGAGATAGAGAGCTGACTGACTGCCATTCCAAGCTTTGTTCAATGACGATCCGTAATGTGGCGATCTGATCAATTCATGACTTGAGTCTCCTGAATCCAGCCTGTTCCGGTCGAAGTTTTTCATCCAGGGCTTGTTTGATTCTCTCCAGGATGATGCGGCTTAGTATTTTGCTTGGGATAGACAGGAGCATAATTCCGCGCCAGTTCTTGCATTGACTTAAGTCTCCTTTCTTTGGTAGTTTGAATAAGTATCCTTTCTTCCAATCCTCGGGTACTTTACCTTTTTCCCACACCTTCCCCAGTAATGGCGTCATCAAGTCTGCTGTTGTCTCTGGGTCCCTTTTCAACGCTTCTGCTGGGATTCCATCTGGTCGTGCTACTTTTCCAGCTTTTAGCATCTTGATTGCCTTCAGGACTTCTGATTTCGTCGGGGGGTTGGTGTTCACTGGTAGCTCTGTCTCCGTTGTTGTTATTGTTGGACGCGTTGTAGGTGGTGGTCGATTTAGGAGTCTTTTGAAGTGTTCAGCCCAGTGTTTCCTTTGCTCCACTTCTTTGGTGAGTGACTTTCCGTTGTCATCTTTCACCGGCTTGATTTGTGTCAAACGTTTGCCTGATAGGTACCTGGTTGTTTGGTAGAGTGTCGCGAAGTTTCCTTTGCCTGCAGCTTGTTCAGCTTCACTTGCCATGGTACAATCGTATATATATATAGTTTTCAAGAAATTATATCCGGTGAGGGAATTCGATCAAAAGTGTGAACACATGAGCTAATAATAGTATGAAATGCAATTAAAATATTTTTAGACAGAAGACAAGTTATTCAGCGAAGAGTCTCTTTTTGCCGGCGAATTCATTTTTATAGCTATAAAATTGCAAATATATAAGGTTGTTTTGTATGTGTGTGTACATTAAATTTGTCAAACGAAAATACAATTAGTAAGTTCAATTGATTTGGATGTTGATACAAGAGGGTAGTAACGAAATTGATGAGTTGTCACAAACGATTGTTAAAGAAGAGTTACGTAATAACATGAGTAGTTTGATGAAAGAGTTGTGCTCAGGATGCGCATGGAAACAAAATAACATACGGAATTACGCAAGAGTTTTAAGTAGTTAGAAAAATAAGCGTACAAACAAAAGTTAATTCAAATCAAGCAAACAAGCCAAAGTTAAGTTAAATTAGCAAAGTTGTTACCATGGAAGTAGAAATGTTTGAATAGTTTTCTTTTGTATTCATAGTTCTGGTTCTTCTAACTAAATAGCTAGGGCTTCTGCAATGCAAAGAAGACGGAAACGTACTGTCGTTGGAAGGTTGTTCTTCACTTTGTAGATAACTTTGAAGGAGGCGTTTATTGAGATGGAATGATCAGTGTTGACGAGGTGTTCTATCGTTGCATATATTTGTGATTATAATCATAGTTAAATGTCAAGTAGCAAAACAATTAATGTTATATATAGAATAATGCATAAGACGGGTGTATAGATGTTGGAAAGAGGTGCATAATTATAGGATTAGTAGGCGAATATAAAATGTTACATAACATGGTGTACAATTTGATACGATAGAATTCAATATTGTAAAAACAAAAATAATAAAAATAATAATTTGGATTTAGAATGACAAGTGGGACAATTGGAAGCAATTCAGAGTGTACAAAAGAAGTATGTACAATCCTTACTGCTGCCTTGGCCGTAGATGGATAGATATTTATTTATTTTGTTTATTTAGCTATTCTATGTACTTTTCCCTTATTACTACGATCATTATTATTAATATTCTCACTCTGAATTGCTTCCAATTGTCCCACTTGTCATTCTAAATCCAAATTATTATTTTTATTATTTTTGTTTTTACAATATTGAATTCTATCGTATCAAATTTTACACCATGTTATGTAACATTTTATATTCGCCTACTAATCCTATAATTATGCACCTCTTTCCAACATCTATACACCCGTCTTATGCATTATTCTATATATAACATTAATTGTTTTGCTACTTGACATTTAACTATGATTATAATCACAAATATTTTCATTGCATTTCATACTATTACTATTTCATGTATTCACACCTTTGACCTGATTCCCTCACCGGATATAACTTCTTGAAAACTATATATATATGATTGTATAGCTTGATAATAAATTCGTTGAAAAGAGTCTCTTAGCTGAATATTGTGTTCTTAATGCTACAATGGGAACAAAAAAACTATTTTGAACAGATGTGTTTACATATTATAAATATGCATTCTGTATACGTTCTGCCAAAAAGCTTTTTCATTACAGCCCAATTATTATTGTCTTTACTTCATTTTTATTCATAATAATATCAAAATCGCAGCATGATCAGTCCTTTCTAGGTGTACAAAACAACTCTATAGACTCAACCATATAACTTAGGTTGATGAAAATTCACAGCAACACATTCTGTTGTCATGAATGAATTCATAAGTGTACTCAAGATGACAGTTTAATCTCTCTATATGCATAGATTTGTTTTCAGTCACCCTGATACTTCAATAAAGGCAATTCAAGGACAGAAAGACTGTTTCATTGAAGAATTCAGTTTTATACTTTATGACAAGTTCAGTGTCAGATTTCCTACATTACTTGGATTTTTCTAACTCATAATTAACACTGCAGTGGCTGAATTTCACTCAGTATGCTACATACTATATTACGCTGTGTACATCAACTTGAGGTTAGGCAGTTGTGATCACAAAGTATAGAAATTATAGCGATTTATTTATTTAAGGTTTTATAGGTAAAACTAGAAAAGGTGAGGTATGCTTGAAGACTGCAGTTAACATCATTGTGATACGTAAATAGCATAGTATATGAGTAACCAAAAAAACTGTATTGTGCTAAATGAGAATGGAGTTTCGAATGGAGTAAATCCATCGGAATGTCATGTTATAAATCACAAGTTAATAACCATTCGAATAAGAAAAAAATCTAAAACTTGAAGATGAGGATAATTTCGTTTTTTACACTGTTTCATTGTCACACCCACGAAAAGTATGATTTTCTTGCGAAGGGTTATTCTCTGAATAAATGTCTCATTTGTGAATTTTTCTATCTAATATGTCGTTGGTTTGGCTGTAGAATGTCTAACAACCATACAAGTAGTCTGGGTTTAATTCTCTCTCAACTTGCTTCTAAACCTCGCCCAACTTACTAGTTGACAGTAAGCCTGAAAAAGAAGGCAGGTTGGGCTAACTACCCAAACTTGTGGAAACCTCATCGTCGTTGATGAACCTTTAAATAATGCAACAGGAAATCCTGAGTCCCACTTGTAAAGCGAGAGAATGAAACCAAAGAATAATCTCTTTATTTTCTGTAAAGCCAGGTGAATTGGAATTCATGACAACCCAATAAATAATTACCCCGGTGGGTGGGTACTGATGAAGAGTCCCGAACTAGGCTGACGAAACAGATACCCAGTGCTTCCCTCAGGTTTTCCAATGGTCCTCTAACTGATGTCAGCTCATGATAAGATCTTCCAACCGATCAATGAAATCCCTACAAACCAATACTTAAATATCATTGAGATGCTCACTAGCGACTGGCTCTATTCAGGTAGATAGTTATCTGGGTTCTAGTCTGAAGCCGTGACCAGTAGGGTACAGCGGGTCGAAGGTGAGGTAGTAACTCACCGAAGGAGACATAGCGAGCTGTTCGCGCTATATCGTGAATTGGACGAAGTAAGAATCAATCGGCTGCCCAGTGGATCTTTTGGGTCCCATTGGCTGAATGGTCTATGAGCTGGCTCGCCTAGTAACTAGAAGGTCCTGACCTCGGACCTTGGCGGTGGGTTGGGTGCGTACTTTGAGGAGTCCTAAACTATGCTGATAGAACAGCTGGCTGTCCAGTACACCCTGCAGATTTTCCAATGGTTCTCTAACCAATGTCAGCTCATGATGAAATCCTGTAACCAATCAAACAAAATCCCTACAAAAACCTATACTTGTGAATAATAAAAA